CTACCTACCTACCTACCTACCTTCAAAAATCCTTCAGGGTAGACAGGGGCGTTCTGTATTTCGAGAGGATATGTGGGTATATGATACTATAGCTATTACAGCTGTTACAAGGAACCCTAAGGAATACTGTCGATTAAGTCATCATATTCGGACATGAAAGCTTCTAAATCCTGGAAACTAGCATCCCCGAGCCTCTGAAAGTATTTGTCCACGGTCTCCAGTTCCTCTGACTCTGCGTCGCTCTGACAGTCCAGGTCAGTGGGGGTTGGCAAGTCGGGCAGCTCAGAGAGGCATCGAAAGCCCGACAGAGATCTGGTGATCATGTCGTCAAGCTCAGCTACAGACTCCTCTGCATCGCAAGCCTTCGATCTTAGCTCTTCTGTGAGCTGCTGCAGGCACTCCTCGGCATCTATCTCGAAGCATGCGCAGAGGTCATCGTATCGCCGGTCTTCCTCATAGAACTGCTGCTTCGCAGCCCTAAGCATCCTAAATCGCTCCAAACGCTCAGTCTGCAACTCATTCTGCTCTACGTCCTCAGCATAGAGCGCTTTGGCATTCTCGACAACATATGTGTGGAGCTTCAAAGCACGAGAATAATGCCTGGGTTGTAGTTTATTCAGGCTCCCCTTTGTATTTATGAATACATTCCTTTCTAGGACGATAGGCCCAAGCCCTGAACCATTAGTATCCCAACATGCCGCCTACTTATTTGTCCAGCATCGTAGGGGAACTAAAGCTTAAGCTTTGGGATTCCATGGGATGTTACCCTAAACGCTAAACTCTAAACAGGTAAAAACTGGTTTAAAGGCTACCTGCATTACTACTAGACCAAGATGCTCTCCTATCAGAGGCAGCTTCTCTTCCAGACTGGCCCATTGTCTCGCAATTGCCAAGCGTACTTGATCCACAACCTGGGTTCTTGCTGAGGAGACTACTGTAAGTAGCCTTAAGTCATCATACAGAATACATAAAGCAACAAGACGTACGACCCTCTAAGCCAAAAAGCCTTCCACAATACTGCAAAACTGCACACCCTAAAACCTCAACCAGCCAACAACCCCAAATTGCTATGTAAACCCCTTGTTTCCCTATAAACCCTAACCCTAAACCCGGGCCCAGCAACAGCAAAGATGGGGCCAGAAGTCTCCTTCAGCTCTGCTACCACCTCCCCTGGTGCACCGGATCTTCTCGAGGTGAGAGATTTAGGGGGTGGGGTTTAGGGTTTAGGGCTTCGATTTCGAGCCGAGGATCTTGTGACGCAAGGTTCGGTGTCCAGGATTCAGGCTTTAGTTCAGGGTTCAGCAAGGCTTAGGAGTTTGGTTCAGGTGTTTTAGGATTAGGATTTAGGGTTTAGGGCGCAAGGATTGGATTAGGGTGCAGGCTGAGGGTTAGCGGGCTAGGCATGTCGTTTAGGGCTCAGGGTTCCTGCAAAGGTCTGGGACAGGTCCGCTACAAGTAAGTTTGATATAATAAAGGCAGGTAAAAATATGTTTAACTATCTATCTACCTACCTACCTACCTACCTATCTAGGTACCTGTCTGTCTTCTATCTATCATGTATCTATCTATCCATCCATCTATCTATCTATCTGTCTATCTATCTATCTATCTATCTGTCTACCTATCTGTCTATCTATCATGTACAAGTCTCTAAATAGTTATCTCTCTGGCGCTATCTGAAGATACGTATACATCTACATCTATATACATGTATACATATGCCTGCATACATACATACATACATACATACATACATACATACATACATACATACATACATACATACAGCATACATACATATATATATATATATACACACACACACACACGAATCCTGCCTCCTGCTGTAAGCCCGAAAACCGGTAAACCCAACACCCCAAACCGCAAAAATCTTGATGCAAACCGCAAACCCGAAAAAAACTGCGTAAACCCTGAAGGTCCAAAATTCACACCCGAGGCCTCCGCACGTGAGCTGCACCGCAGCTGGTAAAACCCCCAGCTTCTTAGAGATTGTGGCCTTGGCCCCCTGCCATGGCTTATTGTTTTTGTTCAAGGGTTGTGTAGGGTTTAGTGTTTAGGGTTTAGGGTTAAATTTCAGGGTTTAGGGTTTAGGGTTGTGTAGGGCTTGCACAAATAGTTCAATACGAAATCGAACGGTTGATGGTATAAACCCTGCACTAACCTTAATAAGGAATATTCCCATAGTTTTAGGCTCCTTAGGGTAATGCAGGACTTATATCATCAACAGTAGGGGTCGTAAAAAGGGCGGGGAACTGCGACTGTCGGCTTTCGGGTGTTGGGTCTAGGATTTCAGATTTCGGGTCCTGGGTGGGCCTTGAACAAGAACCCCGAACGGCGGGTTTCGGGTTTCGGGTTAGGGTTTAGGGTTTAGGGTTTCGGGTTTGGGGTTTAGGGTTTAGGGTTTAGGGCTTAGGGTTTCGGGCTTCAGGGGTTAACCCTAAACGCTAAGCCCCAAACCCCTACAATGCTAAACCCTGAGCCCTGGGTTTCGGGTGTAGAGTGCAGGGGTTTGGAGTGCTTCTGGGCGGCAATCTTAAGAGTCTAGGACTGGTCGCAATTTGCACCTGAAGGGGAGTCGCCGAAAGTCTGCATGATAAGAGCTATTTTTGGAGTAGTTTTCTAAATTAGGGTCCCTCTTAAGGTCCTTTTTGTACGTACTAGTTTGGGGACCTAGTTTGGGGACCTAAACGGGGCCTTAGTGAACTACCCGCATGCCACAAGCCCGAGAAGCCCCAAACAAGGGGTGAGGTCAAGCCTGATCCATCCGACTTTGGGACGTGAAATGGCACGGAGCTCCGAACCCCAAGCCCGAACTCTAAAGCCCTGAACCCCCAACCCTAAACCCTAAACCCCTAAGCCCTAAGCCCTAAACCCCTGCACTCAAACCTTGAAGCCTTAATCTCGAAAGCAGGGGGCCTCAGTAAGTAGAAAAAGGCTTTGGGTCTGTTGTGCTAGAACTTCTGTTGACGACCACCCCTTTACACAGTGTAAGGGGTATAGAAGCTATGTATGATATAAGGGTTCTATACGAGTGCTGTCAGGGTTCTAGCAGAAAGGTAATACAACCGTGGACATCACAGGGTTTGCAATGCTCTTTACAAGGGGCCCAGAATCATAGGGCCCCAAAAAAGCACATAAGCAAGAATCAGGATAGGGATATCCCATATAAACCCCCCTTATAATGAAGCCCAATAAGGTGGGGATATCCCTATAACATGCTTATGCTTATGTCCTTTTTGGGGTCCAAAAAATAAGAGAAGTAGAAAGCCAACCTTTACCCCCTAAGCTACGGCGGATGATAAAATCCTGCATGACCCATAGTAAGGAACCCTGAGGGTCTATGTACCCAAATAGTATATACTTTGGCCTTAAAGTAGTCCCTATATGAGTACTTTGGGGCCAATGTATATACTATATGAGTACATGGACCCTTAAGGGAATATATTCCATAAGTTCCCATAGGTATAGGGTCCTTAAGGCAATGCATGACGTATATCATCAACAGTAGGACGGGAAGCTTTAAGAACAAGCCCTCGATCCGAAACCCCGAACCCCAAATCCAAAGATCCTAGACCTCAAATACCGGGCAATCCGAAACCCCGAACCCCAAATCCAAAGATCCTAGACCTCAAATAGGGTCATACCTTCGACACCCTTTTTCAGGGTACCTATACTTTTCCGTTTAACAGATCCCCACCAGAAAATTGAAAACTGGGTAGGGTACTATGGACCCTATGTAGTGGCCTTAATAATTGGAATATGGTTCCTTATCATGGTTATAGTATAACATACCCCAAACCCTAATCTAATTATTAAGGCCCCTATATTACGTAGTATGGTGGTTTCGGGTTTAGGGCTTATAGAGCCGCAGCCGACCTCCAGGCCCTTTGCCACATCTACTTTCACGGAGCCACCGCTGAGAAGCGTGATGTCCATGGCTAGGAGGGGCTTGGAGCTAAGGACAGAGAAGAGAGGGGGGAGGAGTCCTTTCCGGGTTCCATGAAGGTAGGGTGTATGGCTTTGGAGGATCTCGTAGGTTTTGGATTTCCGGGCTTGGGCTTGGGTATAGAGTTGGGGGTTGAGGCTGATTTGGCTTGGCAAGGTTGATCTGCAGTCTTAAGCTTAAGTCTTTTGGGCGCCGGCAGCCGTTCATGTGCCCGCACACTTTGTGCCGGTTCCAGATGTCTGAGCCAACAGCGTCACGGAGCTCATGGCTGGTGGAGTGTGAAGGGTGCGTGTTCACTTTGTGGGAGTTGGGTTCCACGTGCTCCTTAGTTTGAGACTTAGTGCCTTTATTGGCACCCAAAATGGCCCAAATCCAGAAACCAGAACTACCTGAACTCTACGGATACGTTTTATCCCCATGCGCAATCGAATCGAACTTGCTCCGTGCTACCAACCACTTCAAGGCAAATACATATTCACGTGACGGAGTTTGTGGTCTTCAATAGAGGAGTGATGTAATTGTCGACGGGCTGAAGACAACAACCCCAACCGGTTGTTATTAGAGAATTTAGTTTCAGGTTTATGCCTGAGGATTGAATCAGGGGCGACATTCCTGTATACTTGAAGTTTCGGGGTTTAGGAACTTGTTGCGGCATTGCGTTCTTTTCTTGAGAGCTGAAAGCTTGGGTTTAGGAGTCTAGTGAGGAGTTGGGGTATGGGGCTTAGAATGACCCTAACCCCTAATTCCGCCCGGATTTCCCCCTATAAGCCCTAAAACCTAAACCCTAAACCCTAAGCCCCAAACTTTAAGCCCTAAAACCCTGAAACCCTGAAACCCTAAACCCTAAGCCCCAAACCCTAAGCCCTAAACCCCGAAACCCTAAACCCCAGAACTATTGTGATCTTCCTTGCGTCCCGGAAGCTGAAGGTACGCTGCCGATGGACTGGCCGTACAAAACGATCTGCACGCAGCGGCCAGCAACACGGTTAGGGTTTAGGGTTCAGGGTTTAGGGTTTAGGGTTTAGGGTTAGGGTTTAGGGTTTAGTTTAGGGTTGAGGGTTTAGGGTTTGGGGTTCAGGCTACATGGGAGATTCTCAACATCGAGGGAGTCTAGTATAGCCGCCAGACGTGTGGATTTCTTTGGACCTCTAAGTAGGGCAATAATTGCCCTCACCTTCCCCTAGTTCCAGAAACCCTAAACCCTAAACCAAAACCTCAAAGCCTAAACCCAGGCTGAACATCCAAAGCAGTAGGGTTGCCGTATGGGCGCCTTAGACCAGCTGCAATGGGCATCATGTAGAGGTGCTGGGTGAAAAAAATCTTATATACCAGGTAAAGCTAGCTAGAAGGAGTAGTATATACTACTCAATCTTGAGACACCTGCCTTACCTTGATTCTTGCACGAACATTCCGCACTGTGCGAGCTCTTCTCTGACATGGCCTCGATAGTTTATGAGGGATACGATCTCTTCGGGCTCCTTGGTTTATACCCTTTTGTAATGTAGAAGTTTCATTAGTGAGACGCACGATCTGTTTGTGTTCACTCCTGATTACCATGTACTTTGACACACCGTCACCACCCATTTTGCAGCGATTGAGGCCCTTGTGCTATATGTTACCCTAAACCCTAAACCCTAAACCGTTCAGCTCTGAACCGATCCTCCCGACCGGCAACAACGAAACCCGGTTCCTTAGATTCCCTAAACTTGCTTCCCCATTGCTCATGGAAGTACAAGGTGAACTTTCAGAGTAATGGGTTTTAGGGTTTTAGGCTTATGTCTAACGGGTTTAGGCTCGCTCAAGAGAGATTGGCATTAGAGAAGTATCTATAGTCTCCATTGTAGTTCTTGTTTGGTGTTACCTGATAGGACCCAAAAATATATAATTGGTTAACCAGAAAACTATACAATGGAGACTATAGGTACGCTCTGTCGAAACGTCTTCCCTGCCCGTCCTGCTCGTCCGCCAAGCTGCAGTCGTTCGACAAATAGTGATACCTTTTGCTTTCAGGTCAAGGGGCTAGGTTAGGGCTCAGGCTCAGACGGCTGGGATCAAGCCCTCAAACCTGAACCTTGTAATGTGTAGGGGCCTTATAGTTAGAAAAGGGTTTTGGGGGATTCCTTTGTGACAATGAAAGTAGAATATGCCCACAAACCGTATTCTAATTATTAAGGCCTCTACATTAGTTGACAAGTATTTATTAAGCCGAGCCCTGAGAGCTTGCAGGAACTTAGGCCTCACGATTTGGCGAGATGGGGCTGCGGCAACGCTGAGCCCCGTAAGGTCTAGCTCGAAAACCCCATATGTAAAGATCCTTTACAACAGTCTTGTATAACTTCCTGAATTTGGGGGTCATGGGTACTGGCTATCCGAAGCCGCCTCTGGGGCACGGAAACCCCCGACACCCCTAAATCCAAGCCCATGGAACCCACAGCTCTAGTAAGCCGATATAGGGTTTAGGGTTTATGGTTTAGGATATAGGGTTTAGGGTTTAAGACTTCTTGAAGAAGAGGAAACCTCACACAGATCCTAAACCCTAAACCCCCCCTAATCCTTATCAGCCCTTCAGTCTCAGACCCCAAGCCGTATAAACTCCTAAACCTAGGCCCTACACTTGCCTAAACCTTACAGCACCCCTTAAATCCTAATCCACAAAACCGTAAGCCTTTGCACCCAAGCACCAAAGATGGAAGCCCTCATTAAACACTAAACCCTAAAACCCTAACCCCCAAACCCAAAACCCCAAACCCGAAACCCCAAACCCGAAACCCCAAACCCAAAACCCCAAACCCCAAACCCGAAACCCTAAACCCAAAACCCGAAACCGAAACCCACATCTGAGACCCCAGGCTGGTTCGCAGCATCTTCTTCACTGCCTCCAGGGCCTCCACCAAGACCAAGC